CCGGGGGGGGGGGGGACGCGGTCTCCGTCCTGCCATGAGCTCGTGGAGAGGAGGACGCCGAGGCCGGCCTCTGGCAAGGGGGGAGAGAGAGAGAGAGAAGGGGGGAAAGGCGGAGGGGGAGGAAGAAGAGAAGAAAGAAGGAGAAAGGGGATTTTAATGGGGGGCGCCGGGCTGGGGATGCAGTTCACAACGTCAACGCACATCGCATAAGGCAGGCTACACAGACGCTACCCTGCACCTTCCTCTCACCCTCAACAACGTGGGTCATGCAAACCTCCGCATGCAAAACGCCAAAAAAAAAAAATTAAAATAAAATTGTAAAAAAACCCAGAGGAAGGGGTGGGATGGGAGCAAAAAAAACAAATCCAAGAAACCCCCAAGTTGTCGGGGAGGGAAAGAAACAACCCCCCCCGAAAACACCTGGAGCGGGGATAAAGCAAACCCTGGTGCCCGCCCGCCCTGACCAAGAAAGGGGAAGGGAAAAGGGGGGTAAAACCCAAACGAAGGGAGAAAAATGGGGGGGGGAAAGAAAAGATGAGAGGAGGGAAGGTGGGGAGGTGGGGGAGAGTAAATCAGACTGAGCCAAGGGGAAGGGGTCGAACCAAAGAGGGCTGGAGGTGATGGGGGGATCTGCTCACACAGAGGCATGCACATATATAGAGAGATATATGTTCAGATATGTGTAGTTTTTATAGATAGTACAGCTTTCGGCTTAAAACAAATCAAGAAACGAGGAGGACAGCACAGAGCGACAATGGAGGGCAAGGCAGGGGGGTGGGGGGCCAGGGGCAAGAAGGCAAAAAGAAACCAAAAAAGAAAGAAGAAAAACCATACAAATCAAATCAAATCAAATTTAAAAAACAAAACAAAACAAAACAAAGCAAAACTTCACAAATGTCCTCGTTACTGAGATAAACGAATGTCTCTGAGCTCTTCCTGGGACACGCATTGAGCTGTTAGCTGTGACTCTGCAGGGAACTGCTAAGTCCTCATCAGCACTCAACACAGACTTTGCTTTCTGCTTCCCTCTCCACAGGATCAACTCAGAACCTGTAGAGCAAGTGAAGATAAAGAGAACTTGGTGGCGTACTGGAATATGTGGGCTTAAACTAACACAACACTTTGTGGCTCCCTCTGCCTACATGTTCAGCAGTCCCACTGTGTTTGGCTCTATACATGAGTAAAGCACATGTATGATAGCCCATTAATAATGTTTCATATATAATTTTGCTTTTTTTTCCCCCAGGAAAAATCTTTAGTATTTTATCAGCTTTCAGTTCTGCTGACTTTTTTTTTTTTTTTTTTTTTTTTTTTTTTTTTTTTTTTTTTTTAGCTGGGGGGGTTTACCCAGCCCCGGGGTCCAGCACGCAGCGGCTCCCAAATATTTGAGCTCCTCCGAGCCGCAGTCGCTGCCTGGGTTTTTTTTCCCCCATCTTTGCAAACACCGCTAGACCAAAAAGATGGGTGGAAACAGCTCCTACACCACTGGCCACGACTGAGCCGGCAAACCCCAGCTTGCGGGGCTTTGGGGGTCTCCTTCCCCCGACCACAGCCCTGTGTGGGTTCCTGAGCATCCCTGGAGGGGTAAATCCTGCGCAGGGCGGTGCCAAGCCCAGCTGAGGGGATCTAGCAGGGTTCAGGGGGATTGGCATGCTGCCGGGACTGTGTCACTGTGCCCGGGGCTAAGCTGGGAGCTGGTGACCCCAATTCCTCGCCACCCCAAATGCACCCGCTCAGTTAATCCTGGAGGAAAAGGTTCTCTCCACCACCTCGCTTTTCTCCCCCAAAAGAGAGGCAGAAGACGCAGTGGGGTGGGAGCCTGGGGACCACCACGAAGATGCTGCAAAAAGGACACGAGGCCACCGCGTCCCCAAGCATCCTGAGGCAGGGAGGGGTCGCACGAGCCGCTCTGCACCCCACCAGTGGCATGGCCCCCATCACCTCCTTGTCCCCATGGATAAGCCAACCCCTCCAGCTGCACACCAGCCTGCTGGAGCCAAAATGGAGGGATTTCGGGGTCATCTTTTAACAATCTGCTGCTATTGCAATCACTCCAGTGAAGGGGGAGGCTGGCGGCAATGGCCGGCCCTGCCCATGGCACAAGCTGCCCTGCAAGCGCTGGGGGACACGGACCCCTCCGAGGGGATGCAGCAGCCCTGGAAGAGGGGTTCAGCTGAGCCCGTGCCCAGCCCCGTGTCCAGGCAGGGAAAAATAGAAGCAAAGATGAAGAAGAAGAAGAAGAAGAGGAAGAAGAAGAGTGAAAGAGAGGGTTTTTCTCTTTCCCAGGGCAGTATTTTGGTGCCGGCTGGTCACGTCGCGGGCTCGGGCTGCGGGATGTGGGGTTCCCACCCAAACCCTGGGGCAGGGGCGGAGGGGTCTCCTGCCCAGGCGTGCAGGAAGGCAAAGAAAGGAGAAACATCCCAAATAAATCCAAATCGGCAAAGGCCTGGCCCAAAAGGGAAAACACACGCTTGGGGGCTTGCGGGGATGGGACGGCCGGGGCTGGGACGCCATCCCCTGCCCCTCGGGGACCGTGACGCCCTGGACCTGCCTCTCTCCCCAGAGAAAGATTTCAACCTTTCCCTGTTGCAACCCCCCCAATATCTTCCCTGGGTTGTTTTTTTTTTTTTCTGTCCGCCATGGCCTGAGGAGGGGCTAAACCCACACATCTCCCCAGATTGCTCATTTCTTGCCCCATCCATCCACCCTGAAACCCCCTGTGCGCAGGATCTGCTGCTGCTCCCACCCGTGGGCTCTGGCCGCTGCCCCTATTTCTCACTAATGATGTTCGCCTTCGTTACCCAGCCCCTAAGGGGGGGCTCAAACGGAGCAGCCGTGCTCGGCCCTTGGATGGAAACGAACACAAAGTCGGAGGGCTGAAAGACACAGAAATGCATTCTACCGACGGCACGAGGAGACGGGGAAGAGAAAAGGGGGGAAGAAAGAAAAAATATTACGTGGACAGGGAAAAAAAATATAAATAAAGAACGTAAGAGAAGAGCATGGCTTTGCAGCTAACTGAGGAAACCATACAAATAAAAAAAAATTATATATAGCCACCAAAAAGAGACAAAATGAAAGAGAGACAGAGGAGAGCGAGAAAGAAAGAGAAAGAAAGTCAGAAAGAAAGAGAAAATAACATTAAATCAAGCTACGGTGCTTTTCAACAGGCTCATCTGCAGAAGTGAACGTGCAGAGGTGGACGAAATACCTACCTTCGCAATTGGCAGTGACAGGAATGCGATAATAAAAAAAGAAAACAATAATCTCCACATTTGGAGGGCAGAATGGGAAAAAGACAAGGACTCTTTAGTACGGCGATCCAGACCCCTCGGCTAATCCCGTTTGCTTTGCTTAGATTTTTCTTAATTATTTTAAAATTGGTCTCGTTAGCTTTTTTTTTTAATTTTTCTTTTTTTAAATGGAAAGGTTGTGGCCGGCCGCCGAGCGGGGTGGCTGCGGCGGGGTTTGCTGGCTGCTGTCTGTAACCCGGCTGCATTTCGGTCTTAAAAAGTCGCTATATAACATGGCAAAGTCCCGGATAACATGCAGGGAAGGCGATGGATGGAGGTGGGACACGGCGAGGGTTGTTGGGTTGTGTCGGCCCAAAGAAAACCGGAGAGAAAGAGGGGCCGGAGGGTGTGTGTGGGCGAGGAGGAGGAGAGACCCGGGAGGAAGGCTGGGGAAGGCAGCAGGGATGGATGGATGGAGACGGGACCGGGTATTTAAAAGGGAAGGCAACGCTGCGCAGCACCCCGGGGCACCCCTTCCTCCTGGCGGCTCTGGGGGTGCTGGGGGGGGCACGGCTCACCCGGGGGACGGGCTGAGTCAGGAGCTTTTGAGGGGTCTGTGGCAGGGGGGGCGGGTACCGAGGATGCTCAGCACCTATCCTGCCGGGATGCAGGATGCGGGTGCCCGGGTGTGGGATGGCAGCAAGGTGCTCAGCTTGGGGGGGTGGATAACCCAGCACCCAACGGCCTCATCCTGCAGCTGTGGAGGAAAACCACCCCCACGGCAGCAGGATCTGGCTGCCAGCCGAGGCAATGGGGCAGTAGCCAATTCAAGGAGGCAAAGGGCAATTCGCTCCACAATATCGAAGCGAGCCCGCTACCTTTGTGGTGTAGAGCTGCTCGGTTATCTTCCCTTTTAAATTCCTTGTTCAAAATATAGAATACGGAAATACAATGTTCAGCGGTCGTAAATATTTAGAAAACACATCTGCTTTTTTTTTTTTTCCTTCTCCACATTAACACACACAAAAGCAAAAAATTCTAGAACAACACGACGACGACAGGGGGGGAAAAATAAGAGAGATATATATCGTTTGCATTTCTGTACATCACAAGGGAAAAGAAAAGAAATCATGAGAAAGGAAACTAAAACAAGGGGGGGAAAAAAAGCACGTTTCATTGCCCTTCCCTCCCCCTCGTCCCTGCTTCTGCTGAGCAAGAAATGGAAGTGTATATTACCGTTTGGGTTTTTTTCAAATGGGAGGCTAAAGAAAAACACAGATGGGATTAAAAAGAAAAAAAAAATAAAAAATAGAAACCAGAGAGAGAAAGAAGAGAGAGAGAGAAAGAGAGAGAAAGTTGTTGGAGAAAAGTCCCACTGGTGCCGGGGAGCTGTGGGAGCTCGGCGGCCTGGGCGATGCTGGGTGCTGGGGGTGGTGGGCAGGGGGAGAGCAGGGCAAGCTGGGTGCCTGGGTGGGTGCTCGGCACCCGAACACCCCCACGTCCCAGCCGAAACCACAGGAAAAAAGAAAGCAGAGAGTTGCCCTGAGAGGCGGGCAGGGTGCTGGGTGCTGCTGGGGGTGCTGGGCTGGGGATGGGGAGCCAGGGAGGGCGAAGGGGATGTGAGTATGGGGTGGGGGGCTCCTGGCCCTGTTTTCTGGGGTGCCCCTAGCCCCACAGGCATTGGGATGGCAGCGTTGGGTGCTGCCAGCCCGGGAGCGTCCCCACAGCGCCTCGTCCATGGGAATAAAGTCCCCTGGGGTGAGCGGGGACCTGTGTGCCCCCCATTAGTGGGGTCCCCCAGCACACTGCCTTCGCTCAGCTCTGCCTCCGTCCCCCTGCTAGCCACAGTGGGCTCCTCGCCACCCCAGCACTGGTTATACTGGGGCTGCTCCCTTGGTCCTGCTGGGTTAGGACTTTGCCCCACCCAGTGTGGGAGCAGCCCCCTGGGCTTCACTGGGACCCCTGGGGTGCTGAGGCAGAGCCGGGGACACCCAGCTCTGAGGTCACCCGCCATGGGGACCCTGAGTTCCAGAAGTCTGAGCACCCAGCACCAAACCCCCTCCAAACCCTATCTGGCCTAACCCCAGTGCCCAGACTGGGCACAAACTGGGTGCTGGGTCCCTGAGTGCTCGTGCTGGCACCTTTGCGCTGGGGAGGGCTGGGGCTGGTGGGGAAACAAGAATTTTCCAGCTTTACCCATTTCTTGGCTGTTTGGGCTCAGTCCCCTCCCAGGGAGCTGCTGAGCCCAGTGGTGACCCTGGCTTGCCGAGCCCTCGTTCCCGGGGGGTGACATCCACAGAGTGATGTGTGGCTTTGTTGGCGGGATGACCTGTTGGCTGCCCCAATACCTGCCCCGAGGTGATGGGCTGGCTCCCCCAGGGAGACGTTGATGGGTGCTGGGGAGGTGCAGCCTGCACCCCACATCCCCCCATGTGCCCCGGCTGGGCAAGGGGGCAGCCGAGTGAGTGGGGAAGGAGGGGAGAGGAGAGCCAGGGTGAGGGGGTCCTGCAGAGGGAGGAAGGGAGGGAAGCGAACGGTGATCCAAGAAAAGCCTACGTACATCCGAGGGCTCCGGGAGCGGGGCGCCGTGGCTGTGGCGGCCGTTCTGGGCGCTGCCCTTGTGCCCGTTCTGGTGCGGCGAGGCCGAGCGGCGGGGCGAGGGGGAGGACGGGCTGCGGCTGGAGCGGGCGCTGCTGCCCTTGGGGCCATCCTGCCGGCGCTTGGGGCTTAGCCTGCGGGGCACCGCACCATGAGCCGCTGACATTCCCCCTGCCCCGAGCCTGGCATGGCATTGCCCTTCGCCTGGCTCCAGCAGGGCTGCTGGCTGCAAGCCCCGGCTCAGATGGCGGGGCATGGTTTGCCGATGTAAGAAATGAGGTGAAAATTGGTGGTTTGTGCTTTCTCTAGTTCAATATTGAAACCCCGGCCAGGCACCACGTTCCCAACCCCCTCCAGACACCACAGCACCATCCTGCTCCCCTTCATCCCCCTGAGGGTCCCCATCCTGGAGACATCTCTGCCACCTCCCTCCCCACCCTCCATCCCCAAGGGTCCCTCTCTTGCAGACAGCTCTGCCACCCATCTCCATGTCCTCCATCCCATAAGGGTCCCCATCCCAGGGACATCTCTGCCACCTGCCTCTCCACCCTCCATCCCCACGGTCCCCATCATGGGGACAGCTCTGCCACCCATCCCCCTGCCCTCCATAAGGGTCCCCACCACGGGGACACCTCTGCCACCTTCCTCCTTGCCCCCTGAAACGGAGGCTGGGGGGCCGCTGGCAGTGAGGGCGGGGGTCCCAGGCTGCTCCTACCTGCTGGGGGATTTGGAGCCGCTGTCGTCAGAGGAGAGTGAGGCGCTGTGGGAGCTGCAGGAGCTGCGACGATGCGAGCGCCAGGCCGGGGACTCGCTGCGAGACCTGCAGAGAGGGCGGCCAGGGGGCCAAGGGGCAGGCTGAGCCGCTGCGGGGGGACACACAGGGGGGCACACTGCCCCGCTCCCCCCACCATCCTGGCCCCTCACCTCTTGCGCTCTTTGTTTTTCTCTTTCCGTTTGTTCTTGGGGCTCCGGGACCTGTGGGAAGAGCCACAAGCTGAAGAGGCTGGAGCAGGGGCAGTGCCTGGGGGGCTTCCTTGGCACCCCCCAGAGCCACCGAGGCTGCAGAAGGAGCGATGGGGATGACCTGCCTGGAGCTGGGCTCCACCATGCTTCAAACCATGGCGGGGGTCCTGGCTGGCTTTCGCAGGACCACGGGAGCCACGTGCCAGTTGGTGAGGCCGGGCGGGAGGGGGTGGCAGTGGGAAGGGGGGACCAGCTCTGCTCGGCATCCACAGGGCTCGGGCCTGTTGTCACCCCTCCGCTCACCTCACCCCATGCCAGCCTCCTCTGAGCCCCTCTGCCTGCCTGGGCACCCTTTGCCTGGTTTTTACTTCTTTCACCCTAAAACAGCGGTACTGGCAGAGGGCACCCGCAGAGCAGGGCACAGGCAGGGCTTGCCCTGGCATGGCTGCCTGGTGTCACCCCTTCTCCCCTGGGGGACATTCAGGACCATGGGGGACCCTGCAGATGCCCAGAGTGGCCCTGTGTGACCTCCAAGAGTGGGAGACGCCCAGCGGTGCCCGTCTGTGGGGTGAGGGGGACACTCACCAGGCAAGGGACAGACGGACAGACGGTAGGTGGTGGCAGCCCACGCTTACACCCAGCGTGCCCAACAGGTCCATCCCTTGCCTGGTGGCATGGGGTCTGTCCCCAAGGGCGGAGGGGATGGGGACAGTGGGATGGCAGGGGACAGGGGGTCCCTGACAGGGAAGCTGGCAGCCAGCACTGGTGGCAGTGGGGTGGTTCCCAGCAGCCATCACTCTCACCTGTGTCTTCTCTTCTTCCGCGACCCCGACTCAGACCTGAGGGATGAAGAGGAGGCAGAGATGAAGGAGACACACTGAGCCAGTCAGCAGGGAGCAAAGGCCGGGCAGCCCCAGGGGATGGGGACAAGGGCAGAGGGGTGTCCCCAGGATGGGCTGCTGGATGGGGCAGGTGACAGCTGCTGTGAGGAGGTGATGGCCCCATGAAGAGCCATCAGCATCCATCCCTGTCCATGCCTCCATCCCGCCAACCAGCCCCACTGTCCCCAACCAGCCCTGCTGTCCCCAACCAGCCCTTCTGTCCCCAACCAGCCCTTCCGTCCTCAGTCCATTGTGGTGTCCATCCTACCTGTCGCGTCTGTGTTTCTTTCCAGTCTTCTTTTTCTTCTCCTTGCGGATGGGTGAAGAGCTGTCGCAGCTAGGGGGGGAAAAAAGTGGGTGCCCTTGAGTGGGGAGCAAGGGACCCCCCAGCCCCATCCCTGTGGCTCAGGGGAACCCCGTCCTGCCGCCGCCCAGCACCCTGCTTCCCCTGGACCACCCACGGGATGCACGAACATCGCATGGCAATTATTTCCTGGGGGGGATTTGAGGTGGGGGATAAAAAAGGGCTTTTAGCAGAAGGGCTCCGGCTGCCTTTGGTGCCAGAGCACCTGAATCCCGCTGTGTCCCATTGCCACCTCGTGGGCTCCGCAGCCTCCAGCAGGAGACAGGGTAGCCAATTCCCACTGGGATTTCAGAGGGGGACAGTGGGTGGCAGAGGCCAGCCCGTGCCCAGTGGCCCTGCATGCCGAGCGGGGACCCCGCAGCCCACCCAGCCCAGCGGGCACTCACCTGCGCTCCGAGCCGGGTTTCCTCTTTTTGCTGCCGTGGGGAAGGCAGAGAAGAGAGGGATGTTAGGGACAGTGTCCTGCCCAGCCAGCCAGCACTAACCAGGGAGGCAGCCAGCCAGCACTAACCAGGGAGGCAGCCAGCCAGCACTAACCAGGGAGGCAACCAGCAGGTGGATGGAGCCAAACCCTTCAGGAAGCCAAATCCTGCCCAGTGCTGTGCCCTGCAGCAGCTGGCTCCTTCCCAGCATGGACTAGGCAAGGTCCCATCAGTGTGTGCAGTTGGGTGGGCTGACAGTGCGTCTCACGGCACTGTGCGTGTGTGCACACATGTGTGTGTTGCACCACCAGTGCATGCAGATGCATTGCACCTCTTCAGGGTGCACATTTGGGGGTGCGCTGCCCCCCAAAGTCAGGGGACTTGCCCCACCGGAGCCTGGGGAAGGGGTGAGCCTCCTGGGAGAGGGGACAGGGCAGGGACAGTCAGGGACTCACCGGCTCCGGCGGTGACCTGATTTCTTTTTCTTTTTCTTCTTGGGCGGAGGAGAGGTGGAACTGCTCGAACGTCTTTTCAGCCTGCGAGAAGGCGGCAGACAGGGTCGGGGTGAGAAGGAATGGCCACCCGGGGCTCTCCTGGCCTCCATGTCCCCCAGTGGGGACCTGGCAGGCAGAGAGACGTCCCCGCCTGTGCACACCCACTCCCCAAAATCCCTGCTGTGCTTCTGGCCGGACCTGTACTCGCGGTGGCCACTGTCCTCGCGGTAGCACTCGGCCGAGCAGTCACACTGCAGCAGGCAGCCCTCGCCATAGTCGGGGTACTCTGCCGCGTACTCCTCCCCGTCTGCCCCGTGATGGTTCTCTATCACGCTGTCGAAGGAGGAAGCACAGGATTAATTTGGGGTTCCCTGTTTCCCACTGGAGCAGCTGGGGGGAAGCATGGGGTAGCCCCAGTGCGGCTGCAGGAGCTGGGGGACATCCCCTCCGCCACAGCATCCCCAGGGGACCTTGGTCACATCACTTGAGGTCCACATGCAGCAAACCCCCGTGACGTTGCCATATGGTGGGGTCTTTTCAGGGCCTTCCTGGGCCTCCTGTCCCTGCAGTAAATCTCCACCAGGCTGGCACAGGGATGCCATGGGGCTCGGGCCACCATCTCCCCTTTTGGCACTGCCCAAGTGCTGGGGATGAGTGGGGCCTGGGGGTCAGCCCAGGTAGGCAGCAGGGCTGGATTAGGGTGAGAGGAGCTGGCAGGAGGCTTGGGGGTTTTGGGGGATTATCCACCCGCTGGCGGGAGCTGCCCAGGATGATCCGGGCTTTGAGGCCAGCACCCCAGCGTGCCGCCGGCTCGGCACTGGAGCTTCAGGCAGGTGATGGGTGATGTGCCCCCTGGGCCAGCCAAGATGGGGAGGGGGGACATCAGGCCTGAAGCCACCGGGGTCTCCTCTCCCTCCTGAGCGACTTCGTCAGCATTAATTTTTCCTGCTGCCATGGAAACCAGCGGGAGGTTGCCATTGACTACCGGGGCTGCGGGCAGGGCTTGGCAGAGGCCTGGCAGCTGGACCAGGCAGGCAGGAGGGACCCAGGGGGCCCCTGCCCAGCCTCTCCCTGGCATCCCCCACCTCCCCCGTCCCCCT